TCCACTTCTCAAAACAGTTTTTGAACTTGTCAATTTTTATGCCCTTGAGTGCTTCTGCTTTTTTTTTTTACTTCACTTCTTCCACATCTGCAAAATATTTCCCTTTGAGGACTTTTTTCATCTGGGAAAACAAACAAACAAAAAAGTTGCTTGGGGTGAGATCGGGTGAATAAGGAGGGTAGGGCATGGTGGCCATGGCATTTTTGGTAGAAAACTGCTGAACACTCAGTGTGGTGTGGGCAGGTGCACTCATAAATCACCCATCATGGAATGGGCAAACAAGTTGAGTCTTCAAAAAAATTCACTGAACCAAGATGCAGTCTCTCACAACAATGCTAGCTGGTACACTGATGCAGATGGATTCCTAGAACACTCCTATACTACAAGGGGCCTACCCTCTAGGAGATAATTCTGTTTTGGGTCTCTCCCTCAGATACCCTTAGACTTTTATAAAGTCAGAATCTCAAATGATATAAATTTCCTTCATTTCTAATTTTCCTCTTTGTGAGCATTTCCCTCAGTACTCTGCACATTCTCACCAATTCACATACTGACCAACACAATGTTAGGACAACTCAACTTAATATCCCTCTTTTCTTAAGCATTATGTTTATTCCTTCTTTAACACAACAGTGTTGACTTATTCAGTTTGAACACTTAAGGTCAAAATCCCAATGTTATTTTGCAAGAATCTTACCTTTATGTTTTGAAGTTCTGTAAGCTCTGTGGCACATTTATATTGTTTCTTGCATTCTTATTTCAAAGGCTAATATCAAAACTGAACAAAAAGTACCGTGCTTTGTGTGTTGAAATGAAAAGTCTATTATTAGTGGTGCAGCAACATTTCCTCTGTCACTCTTTTATACTTTACCTTTATTATTACTTCTGAGTTCAACTTATCTTTAAAGAGAAAATCACATAATACAGTTACATTTTGTGTGATGTTAACTGTCTCTTTATCAGTATAAACTTCATGATATTTGCTTGCAAAAATATTTTATTCACCTTTTAGGAAAAAAAATTAACTGTGCTTGCAATTCAGGATGTTGGTACTAGGTGGCAGTAGTGCATAAGAACAAAGAGTAGACTGGCTTGTCCTTCCATATTTATAAGAAATAAAAATATATACATGTTCCTTGATTTCCCTTCCTCTTTTTTCCCACATTATCCCCTCCCACCTCTCCTCTGGTTACTGTCAGTTTGTTCTTTATTTCAATGTTTCTGGTTATATTTTGCTTGCTTGTTTGTTTTGTTGATTAGGTTCCACATATAGGAGAGATGCAAAAAAAATGCATAGAAAAAAGATATGAAGTAAACATAAAATAAAACGTATATTTATAATTTTGTTTCTATAACTAATAAAAATTATTTTAAAGAAAAGAAAAAATATACTACTAAAAAAACTGACACAGACTTTAAACATTCATTATCTTAATTATTATTTTTAAAACTAGCTTTCAAAAGAGTAAATATTATTTTTAAGTAAAATTTTGGATAGGTATACATTCACAAGTTCAAAAATCTACAAATAAAAAAGCTATAGACTGAAAAGTTTTTCTCCCATGCCTGTCCTCCAACATCCACAGGCAACTAATTGTATAGTCTCTTGGGTGTCCTTCCAGAACTTCCTCATGTAAATGCAAAAAGACACAAATCTATATTCCTGTCTCTCCTTGTTTTTTTGTTTCTCAGAGAATTTTTGTTTAATGAAAAAAGTTTTTACAAAAAGAAACCAACATAAGGGATCCAAATGTATCATGAAATCCCAGATATTCACTCTTTTTGTTGGAGATGCTGCTTAATGTGTCCTGCTCTTCATTTTCTCTCTTGTCTTTTTTCCAGATCTCTTATTTCATCCTTTCTTTCCAGGACTCTTGAGGTCTTTGCCATGACCCATCTTGGCCTAGAAGCTGGATATATCACCATAGCTCTCACAAATGTTCCACTTGGATCTTCTGCATTCTTTTTTCTATAGTTGCATAGTATTCCATTGTATGAATGTTGTATAATATATTTAACCAGTATCCTATTGATGGATATATTGTGCTATATTTTATGCTATGGCAACCAATGCTATAGTGACTATCCATACACTTACATGATCTCACATATAAGATAATTCTCAGAAGTCGAATTCCTGGATCTAAGTTATATACATTTGCAATTTTAATAGATATTGCCAGGTTGGCCTCTACAGAATTTATATTGATTTATACTGTACTACTTCAGAATTGGTCTGTTTTCCATAGCCTTGTTTACAAGGTGCATGGTCAGATTTTGTAATCTGTAAATCTGATTGGTTGAACAAAGTAGATATCTCAGAGTACTTTAATTTTCATTTCTCTTAGATGAGTGAGCATACCCATCTTCCGTGTTTAAGGGTTATTTACTTTTATTTATTTTATTTTATTTTTATTGTTTTTACTTTTTAATTTAATTTATTTTTTTGTATTTTTTCCATTACCATTTATCTTTCTGATACCCTCTTCCATCTCCACCCACCCTCTATCCCTCACAATCACCACACTGTTGTCCATGCCCATGAGTTCATTTTCTTGATCCCTCCACCCCCAATGATCCCCACCACCACCCAAAACTGTCAACCTGCTCTCTATAAGTCTGTGCTTCATTTCTGTTTAGGGGCTATTTATATTTTTATATGTTATTTTTTTTGGATAAAATGTCAACAAATACAACCATCCATATATAGAGAGAGAGTTTTGTTATTGAAGCTCTTGCTTGTTTTTTGCTTTCATGCTATACATGTTTTTCTTTCATTTGCTTTGTTCATTTGACCATGCCTTCTGACCATGGCTCTGAAAACAAGGTGCTGGTAGTGGGGAAGGAGGGATAGGAGTAGAATGTCTGTTTTTACCTTCATCCCTTTGCCATTGACTCCTGGGGGAAATATCTGTAAACTGGAGTGGTGAAAGCAGAAATCTAATAAATTTTCTTTCTGAGACTAATTAAGGCTTCAAAGAGACAGATAACTGCTAGGGATAATATAGTCATATTAAAACTCAGGAAATGGTCAGTATTATTGTAGCCTCTGAACTTAGAACACCCCCCAAAAAAGAAAAGATACTGTCTCTTTGAACTGAAGTCTTGGTGAGTTTCAGTTTAACGTGCATAGGAAAACCTAGACTATGAAGCTGAAAAGGAAACAAAAGATGTTCTTCTGTATTCTTTGCCAACTTGGAGCTTTCAGCTGAGGCTTGATAAATTTTAATGAGATGTTTCCATTAGCATACACATAAAGGAGAAGGGTACAAAGTTATATGAAAAGATAGTCTCCACAAGTTTAGGATTATTTTCTGCATATGGAGATGATGGTAACTGAGTCCATAAGTTATCAGGTAATGGCATTTTAGAGCAATAGGGAAATGCATTTGTCATCTTTTCCAATTCTCCTCCTCCAAAGGTGAGGAATCTGGGGCTAGAGCAGTTTAAATGACCCATGCAAGGTCCCCCTGCTAATTAATGGTAGTGTTAGAGTCCAGGTGGGTCCCCATATTACTGATTCCTGCTTTTCCTTCAATTTACAGAACTTCCCTGAAACATACACGATGAGGTTTTGCCATTGCCAAGGATGTTGTGCTCTGAAATAGCCCTATGTCACACACTCTTTTCTGCTTGGGATCACCTGCCCTACACTCACAGACAGCTAACTGAGGCTAAGTTGGCTTTGAGCCATTCTATTAGAGCAAAACTGATTGACTTATATGGGCTTAAACTTCTAATCTTGATCTCATCAATACTTTGCCCTGTTTATTCAGACTGTCCATGAGTAGGAAGTTTTAAAAAGTGTTGTACTATGAACAAAAATCAATCTTTTATCCAAAATGTTTGAAAGTTTTTCTGAAGCTCTGATTATCATGTTCCTTTTGTTTTGGATGTAATGTCAGCCCCACCCCCCACTTTTCCTAAATTTTTCAAGATATTTTTCATACTCTTTGTCTTCTGTTATGATAAAAAGCATCAATGTTGGCCATGCTTTGGGGGTTAGTGAGGTGATTTGGGGAGATTTCTGGACCCTAGCCCCTTGTCTAAGAGGTATATGATTAAAGGAACAAAGCAAATTTCAGGAAAACCAGTATAGTATGAACCCATTTTGGTAAGTTACTGCTCCAACAATCACTTATTTTCTCAAATTACACCATGTGCTCAGGCTACAAAGACTGCAGAAATGTGTGACTGTACTGGCAAATACAAGTATTGCCTTAGCCATGCTGGAGGCCAGGTAGCTTAATGTGTATTTCAGATGCAGTTTGTCATTGATGCTGGGTAACATTGGGGCTTTAAACAAAAACAGGATGAGCGCAGAACACAGAAATGGAAAACTAGGTGGTGAGTGGGTGGGTATGAACTTGGAATTGGAAAATGTATTTTCTTCCCATGGGACATGACCTGTGTTCATTAGTGCTGACCTTTCACCTCTCTTTCTCTGTAAGCTGATGTTAATATCAAAGCTTACTGAGAAACTGAATAGACACCACCAGCCACATGTTTAATCTTTACCATGGGTTCAAAGTATTCTTTTTTTTAAGTTTTTATTTATTTATTTTTAGAGAGAGAAGGGAGGGAGATAGAGAGAGAGAGAGAGAGAGAAACATCAATGTACGGTTGCTGGGGGTCATGGCCTGCAACCCAGGAATGTACCCTGGCTGGGAATCGAACCTGCGACACTTTGGTTCACAGCCCGCACTCAATCCACTGAGCGGGTTCAAAGTATTTTTGCTCATAGGAACATAGACTCCAGCAATTAAAGTCAATATGTGCTTCCATTAAACCACTTTTTCTACCCTAAAATGGTTATAAATATGTAGCATAAGCTATGGAGGCGATCTGGAGTGGATGACAGTTTATGCTAACGACACTTTAGAAACTAATATTTTCTACTCGAAATCACATAGAAAAATTCTACTCAATACTTCCTGGGTTCCATTAGTTTTTTTCTCAGTAAATTTTTCAGGGGGAAATAATTTCTGTTTTCATTCCAGCTGTGCAGCAGATACAGTGATGATGGACTGCAAGTGCAAAGAGTAAGACAAAACTCTGGCATGCAAAGGACAATGACAACCAGAAAGCTTCAGCCAGATCCTGCCCTTGGAAGGAACTGAATCCTAGGAGGTGAAGGCATTTCTCATTTTTAGTCCTCTGCCTCCCTCTGCTGTTATTCTTGAGTAGTTTTTCCTTACAACAATGAGAAATCATGTACTAGCTGCATCCTTTTCTATGCTCTCCCTGCTGGCACTAATGGGAGATACAGACAGCAAAACGGATACCTCCTTCATGATGGACTCAGATCCTCGACGCTGCATGAGGCACCACTATGTCGATTCTATTAGTCACCCACTATACAAGTGTAACTCAAAGGTAAGAGAAAGATCTCTGTGAGGGTAATACCATATACCTTTATCAAGGGATAAAAACCATATACCTTTATCAAGGGATAGAGAAGTATGATGATAATGCAAACCTGAGCTATACAACTGGTCCACACATCTTGTGGGAGAATCATGCTTTTAGAGTTTCTTATCATGCTTTGCATTTTTGTCAGTAAAGCTGCCTAATTAAGCATGTGTACATATAGCTAGCTTCTCTCTTTTCAGTCTGCTCGAAGCCAATAGAAAAGGCTGGAATGTTCTCACAATAAAATTGTTGCTAAACACAAGATAGTAGGGGAGCATTTCATCCTAGGTTGTGAGATTTATAAGTGGTAGAGTCCTTTTTCAAGAAAGAAAAATAGTCTACAAGTTATTGTAATACCTTCTACCACCACTGGCAATAAAGAGGAAGGGGATGCAAGAAATATGATTGAGCAGTGAAATGTACTTCCTGAGGGACTCCTCAAAGAGTTTTTCATGAAACAGTTAGTCATTGGCCTTGTAGTCCCAGTTTTTCTTCACCTTCCACATTTATGTTAAAATGACTTCAAAAGATAAATGGCAACTTGATCATTTGTCATTTTTACATTGATTATCCAAATCATTCTTGTTTGGAGATTGTATGATTTTTGCACAAGCACTTATGCAACTGATGTCTCACTGTTGAGACAAGTTGTGGGAAAGAATAGCATGCTTCAAAGGTCATTGAGAGTGAGCAGCCACATGGACCACCCAGAAGGGAGGCACGTAGTAGGGAACAGACTCAGAATGAGAATTCTCATGACTGTCACTGCTGCAGTCACATAAATGAAATTTGCCCACATTTGGTAAATAAGAATTCGTTTAGGACAACCTCAGAGATTTTCACTTTTAGTCCTGAGACTAAAACCACTTCACTATTCTCATATGGCAAGTATTTTTTTTAATTACCAGTATAATTAAGAAGGTTCTGTACTATCAACCACTACAATTAAGACCATATAAGTAAATCTCTTTACCCTCCATCTGAAAACATTAAAACTTCTGTCTGCCTTTAAAATTTCCATAACTTGTCTGATTAAAGCTCAATGATGATGACTTGTTTTAGTCTGGCAGGACCAGAATTTGAGTGAAATCATTTAAATCATTATATTAGTAAGCTCTAGGACTGTGGGAAAAAATAGACCTAAGGAGAAAGATTGTGACAAATAAAGAGTTAAGTGTTACCAAGCACAAAGGATATTTGTCCCAAAGTTCTCTTTCTACCAAGAAAAATGTTCGGTCTCTTATTTGCACAGTTAGAGTTTTTAAAAATAAAAAAAAAATTGCAAGATGCAATTCCTTTTTAAGAAAAAAAAAACTGAAACCAATGTTTAAACAAAGGTGGGATGTTTTTTATAATTGATTGCTCAGAAATTGACTGGAGTGATTATTAGCTTCTTCTCTCCCACCACTGTATAGCACTAGCTAGGATTTAGTGTTTCTTATTCCATGAATGATTTCTCCCTCTGTTGAATTGTCCTCCATAATCACGATCCTTTAAAAAAATGAATTAAAATTATTTCAAAGAAATTGTCAACATGATAATAAGAAAGAACAGAGAAATAGAAGCAGAATAAAAAAGGAAAGAATACTTTGGAAATATTTGGTGAAATGATAGCAGAGTGCCTTAACAATTATCACATTAGTTAAGGGAAGGTCAAAGAAGAGATGTCATTAACTTGAACCCAATAAACTCACAGTGCTTGAGCATGAGTCCTAGAAACAGACTTTAGCATACCTTTGTTTACCTCTGTTTCTTCCAGAATGCTATGGTAAATAGTAAGATAAACATTTGTACTTTCATGGGAACAATCTGTTTTCAAACATCCTAAACTATCCCAAATATACCAATAGTTTTATGTAAATGTGCTTGTAATTATAAACCTTTCTTCTTCGGCCATAAAATATATCTGGCAGAATCTCAATTAATCAGACCTTTCCTGAATTAGATTTTCTTTACATATCCAGGAAAAAAAACCTGTTTTTCATTTTTTAAAAGATTTTTAAAATTTATTTTAGACAGAGGAAAAGGGAAGGACAAAGCAAGGGAGGGAAACATCAATATGTGGTTGCCTCTCATGTGCCCCACACTGGGGATCTGGTCTGCAACTCAGGCATGTGCCCTGACTGGGAATCGAACTAGCGACCCTTTGGTTTGTAGGCCCATGCCCAATCCACTGAGCTACACCAGCCAGTGCATCAGCAATCTTTCTAGAACTAAAACTGAATGCCTACTGTGTGCAGGCACGGTGGTAGGTACTGGAGGCACAAAATTTTTTTTAAAAGTTTAGCCTGTCATAATGTTTACAAGTAAATGGGGGAGAGAGGGAAGGGAACCTTTTCAAGAGCTTTTTATGAAACCGCCTATTTCCCCTATCCCTGAACTTGCAGCTGGCCAGTCCCAGAGGTCTGTTGCCTATCTCCTAGTAATTCAGGAAAAAGCTGAGATGGGATCAGACAGAAAATACTGGCTGCAGTGGTCCACTAGGGAGGTCAATGTGGACACACATTAGGATGTGCCTGCTGGCATTTAGTGATTGTTGTCTTGTTGTTTAGTGGTTTTGTACCTTCTAGGATGGGGTACAAACAATTCTGAGAGTGACAGATTCATTTACAACCTTCCAAGAAATTCTAGGTGAGTAAAGGCTGTAGAACAAACAGACAAAATGTCAGTAGTTAGTGGGAATGAGGTGTCTGCAGCATATTTAAGGGAACTGAGGCATCCCAGACTTTTGAGAAAAAACTCCTTTCACATTCCAGCTTTACAGTTTGACAGGTGAGGAAAGTGGGGTAATTATTTGGTGCTTCAGTTTCTTTGTAAAATGGAGCTATTGCTGTCTACCTGAAGGTATGGGCATGAATCTTGTTGATAACATTTGTAAAGCATCCAGCACAGTGTCTGGCATATAAAAGGCATTAATAAATGATATTATAATCTTGATGATGAAGTTATAAACTGGACAGGTGTTTAGACTCACTTTTCTATTTCAGTCACTACTGTGACCTCAATAACTGCTGGGATCTCCTATAGCCTTAAAGGATTAGGAAAATAAACCTCATTGTGGTTCATGTTGAATACAGAAACTTGGTAGGGGTGGTGGGAGTGTGCAGAAGAGCAAAGTAAATGTAAGCCACTGTGTTGGGTGCTAAAAGGAAGGATAAAAGTCAAAGAGAAACAGATCTTGCTGTCTGACCTCCTTTCTCAAGTGAGTAGAGACAAGAGAGACTGGAGGAGAGGTATTTCTGGATTCAGGTCAGGAAAGGTTTTTAGGAACTGAGCTTGGGAAAGGAAGCTGGTGGGGCAGGTCTGTGAGGTCTGAATTGGGTGAGGAGTTGGAGATGGTGACCCCAGGCCAGGAGTGTGGAACCATGAGATAAGGTTGTTTGAACTCTGAAGGGCCACAGGAGCTTCAACAAAAGAGAAGAAGTGGAAGGGTTCAGGGGACAAATCCTAGGAAAATTCCCAGAGTAAAGGGACTTGGCATGCCAAGGACTGAGCCTAGAGGTTGGGAGGTAGTGATTAGGATTCTCAAGCCATGTCCTACTGGTGCTACTGAAGCTCAGAGTGGTAGAAGAAATGAAGGAGTCAGAAATAATGAGTTTATAACTCAATTAAGTATTGGGAAGATATGAGTTATTTTTTTTAAAAGGAACAAATGTATACTGAATGCCTATTATGTACAGGCACTGTGGCTACTGGAGGTAGAAAAAATTTTAAAAGACAATTTTGGCTCTCAAAATGTTTACAAGTAAACAGGGAAGAGAGGGAAGGGAAATGTTCCATGTTGCAAAGGCCTCTTCATGCCCTACTGAGTTGTGAAGTAAAGGTACCAGATTCCAGTTGAAGTTTGCAGAGTTCTCACTCACCCTATCAGAGCTCTCACCACCACCACCACCACCATCTCCCCCATACACATTGTTTCATTCTCCTGGTTGCAATTTTGCTTATTCCCTCAGCCTTGCATGGTCAGTATAAAGGTCAATTTGGATCCCTAGAGGCGAATTGAATAGTCATTTATTGAGGCTATTGGTAAGGGAAAGTTTAGGAGAATCATGGGTAAATCTTATTCCTGAGGAGAAAGGGCCTGGGTGTTTCAAGGAGTGCCATAGAATAAGAAGTGTACAGTGTTCACTGCTGACAAAAGGTAAAATATGTTTCTCACTCAATTGGGGTAAAATAGCCAAACCCTTATTTGAGGAAGGGAGACATGCATCTTTATTCTGATATTTATGGAGGCACCTAGTCAGTCATGACTTGAGCCAGAAATTCATGGGTTTCCACATGACAGAAGAGGAAAGTGACTTTGGTGGTGATAAGTCTTTCAACAAAGGGTGATGAAAACCATCTGTGTTTGGGTTTTCTCTCATTCAGAAGATAGTTGTGTATTGCAGAAAAGACATAACCGTCTAAGAATTATGGTAGGTCACCAGAGAGAGCAGAGCCCTGAGGCTTCCAGTGCATTCTTTGGTCTGGACCCAGGAACCACAGAAGACTACAACCCTCACAATGTAGATTGAACTTACCCATGACCAACTTGAACATCTTATGAGAACTGAGGGCTTGACAGGCTGATTGTCATGGCCTAATGATATAGCACTGTGTTTAGGAGAAAATGCTCAGGAGTCTGGCTGTGTTGCTTCACATGGTCTGGCCCTCCATTGTACAGCTTTGTGTCTTCAGGTTGGTAGCTTTTCCTCTGCCTTTTATTTTCTAATTTGTAAAATAGGGACAGTTTACCTTTTGAAATGCTTATTAAGAACTAAGTTGCATATGAAGGACTTGGCATGGCTCCTAGTAAACATTCAATAAACATTATATATAATCATTTATACTGTTTTTTTATTATTGCCCAAGGACCTTTTTATTACTCTTACCCTGAGCACATGGAAATCATATTATAGCATGAAGAAACCTGTTCTTGAACAAGCACTCTGGCAGCTCTGTTCACATTGGAAGAAACTGGCTTTAACATCTAGCTGGAGCCAAGTGACACCAAGGTTGGGGGAATACAAAGCAACTGCTAGAGGAGTTTCCCAGCTTCCTAGCATCAGGCCACCTGTTTGGTAAACATAAAATAATGAAAATTAAACTGGACCCAAGGAGGATAACATGTATCTGTCACCCACCTGGGCTACAAGAAGTCAACAAGTATTACACACAATAACCAGCTGTTGAACACACTGTCTAATGGTGGAGCCCCATGTAGGCTTATTGTCATAAGAATTTCCTTTCCTGATTTGATAATAGAGCAATGTGAACACTCCTCATTAAGAACACAAATGCAGTTCAAAATATAGAGGAGTCCTCCCATGTTATTAGAACACAGCCAAGTCACCCAAGCATGAGGAATGTATGTCAGCCACAAACTGGGATCCACTGTGTTTTGGCAGGTGAACTGATGTTTGTAGGTGTCAAAGGTTTATTGAGTTGGAGGATGAATTGACTAGGAATTGGTGTGGTACTACCCAGTGAATTGCTGACAGTCCCTGGGAGTCCCCAAATCATGAGGGGATGGAGCTGAGCAAGGATCTTGGTAGTGTAGGAGGTATTATGTAGGACTATCATGAATCTTAGAAGATTCACTTCTGCATAAGCTTGGAGGTGGTGATGACGTGTCCCAAAAAGTCCATAAGACAAAGTTCAAACTTGCATGGAAATTATATATAGTTAGGGCTCCCAGAAGCATGTCAAAGTACATTAGAGAAAGATGTGAGTTGGCTTATGACTCAGGAAAACATATTAACCTCAGGAGACAGGATAGTATAATGATTTAGACCTGGTGTTTGCTTTTAGACAGAACTGAGTTTCTCTCCAACACTGCCTTTTACTAGATATGTGAGTCTAAGCAAGTTACTTAAACTCTTTTTTAAAAACATTTTTATTGTTGTTCAAGTACAGTTTTTTGCCTTTGCCCCCACCCCTCCCCACCGCCCCAGCCCTCCCCACCTCCTTCGAATTTCCACCCCCACGTTGTTATTGTCCATGTGTCCTTTATAATTGTTCCTGTAAACCCTTCACCCTTTCTCCAATTATCCCCTGCCCTCTCCCCTCTGGTCACTGTCAGCCTGTTCTCAATTTCAATATCTTTGGTTATATTTTGCTTGCTTGTTCATTTTTCTGATTAGGTTCCTGTTAAAGGTGAGATCAAATGGTGCTTGTCTTTCACCACCTGACTTATTTCACTTAGCATAATACTCTTCAGTGCCATCCATGCTGTTGCAAAGGGTAGGAGCTCCTTCTTTCTTTCTGCTGCACAGAATCTTGAATCGGCAATTCCACTGCTAGGATTATATCCTAAGAACCCTGAAACACCAATTAAAAAGAATCTATGTACCCCAATGTTCATAGCAGCACAATTTACAATAGCCAAGTGCTGGAAGCAACCTAAGTGCCCATCAGTAAATGAATGGATCAAAAAACTATGGTACATTTACACAATGGAATACTTAAACTCTCTAAAGCCCCAGTTTCCTTATTTGTAACAATAATACAGATAATGATATGTAGTAATTTTAGCATAAGATTGTTCTGAGGATTAAATAAGATTAAATGTTCTAAACACTCAATAAAGTTTATCTTCCATTATTATTAGCTAAATGATCACTATCTGGTGATCCATCTGAAGCAGAGCCTCTCAAATTTTAATAGGCCTAGGACCTTCCTAGTGAAAGTATGGATATCAGCCCAACAATACTCACATCAAATAAAATCTTTTGAGACATGAAGAATCTCTGGTCTCACTTAGAACTACTCAATCACATTGTAAATTTGAACAAGAACCCCAGATGATTTACATACATATTACAGTTTGAGAAGCTCTGGCCAGGAAGAGGTCAGAAAATGTTCATTAAATCTGTAACATAAATGATGCATGGCAGAGACTAAAATGTGAAATATGAAGAGTGAACCTGGAGAGCTTTATTTTTTTCCATTCTTTAATAACAGTCGTTTATGGATCTTATCTAACAAACTCCCCACTTTACATATGCAACCAACATACACAAAACACAGTTACAATTTATATAGTTTTCAGTTTTGAGATAAGATCTATATACTATACATTTCTTGGAGAGAGGATTGGCATGTATGTATATGTTGAGAATATTGAGGGCCCAATAACTGTTTCATAGTCTCTTTCTCAAGGAGAGAAACTTTGAATTTGGCAATGGAAGGCATTTGGGATTTCATTAAGCACAGCTAGGAGGAAAGGGCATTCATAAAATAGAAAGACATGAGCAAAATCAAGAAGCAAGGAAATTCAGTATAGTTCCAGGAACTCGTAAGTAATTAAGCTTGATCACAATAGGGAGTGGGTGATGAGAATGAGAATAGTTGTAAGAAAGATTGGAAAGATAATGTGAAATCCAAGTCAGAGAGGGCCTTAATGCCTGCTCAGGATTTTGAACTTTATTCTGAAGTCTGGGGGGCAACCCCTGACGGTATTTATTATACATCTGTGCATTCTCCTTGCCCAGAAAGTCCAGCTCCTGAGAAAGAGGGGCCCATTGGAGGTGGTCCCAGGGTCTTCAGTGCTGGAGTTCTTGTCCATCAGAATGAGCTGAAGGCAGAGCTTCAGACCCTGAAAACTTTTAATGAAATCACTATCAGGTTAGTTCTTCTGTAAATGGCCCTACATTGTTGACTTTGTCGTTTTACAGACTAAAACTAATTGCCTGGCCATTCAAGGTCTACATTTGGTTCACCTGTATGCGTATCATTTGGAGATGATGCACTACTATGTCTTTGCTTCTGAATTAAGTCTGCTGGCACAGGTTCACTATATCCATCCAGACTGAAATTGGATCTCTAAAGACTCCATTTTGGGAGGTGATTCTTTAAATAATTGTTTGATATTCCTAATAGATGATCTGCATTAGTGAGTAAATTGAACACTACTTCAAAATGAGATGTCAAGGAACTTTTCCCATGTAGTGGTAAATTGTGGAGAAGGGACTGGGGAAGATCTTGGACTTTCCTCTCATTAGAGGGATAGAGGTGGCACCAAGGATTGGCCCAGGTACTACTGACTATGGCACAATCTCTCAAAACATTTCAGATCATGTTTGTTTCACCTATCAATATAAAGAGCAAGTAGGATAGAATTAAAGTTTTAATACACTAAAACAGCTTATAGCTGCCATTTTCTCTCTGCCTCTGATCTTTCAGAGAAAATGTATCAGTAGGTTTTGTTCAGTTTATCTTCACCAAGCCCTCCTGGTTGTTTCCTAGTGTTTTGTATTCTCTTATTGGTTGCTAAGAGATTGTTGGATTCATCCCAGCATCTTCTCAGGTAATGATCTATAATTACCAGAATTTAGTTTCTCTTCCTTTTGGAAAGATAGACAGGCCATTCCTTTCTTTTAATCCTTGGTTATTTAATTCTGGCCTATAGAATAATGTTAAAGATAATAGCTTGTGTGTTTTTAATAACAGCTGCTAATTTGTAAAATATCATGAAGTAAATGTCAAATGGTTTCATATATGTTTGTATCTTTTAATCTTTTATTTAAAATTTAAAATTTTATATTCTTATTGTTGGTTCTGGAATTATAGGGCAACATTTTCTCCATCACTTACTCTGAAATTCATGAAGCAAGACCTTCCCACATAAACATGGACCAATAATCTCAGGTTCTCCTCACCCTCTGTGCCCAAATAGAATCAAGATGCCCACCCTACCCCACATATCACTGCCACTCCTAGGACAGCAGGATTTATGAGCCTCTGCTATGTTCCCATAATCTATACACAAAATATTGAGTGTGTGTTTATGTCCATTGTTCTGGGGATAACTTTGGTAGTTGGTGTCAGAGTCTTCAAGGAATCTGTTTACTAAAATCACATTGAACCATTATAGAGAACACACATCTTCTGTTACTTCAGCCCAAACTTTATTATCATACTAACTTATCTTTGAAAATAGATGTGGTTAGAATGAGTTAATATTTGCTCTAAATGACTCTGAAAATGTGATTGCACAAATTTTAGGTTCCCTCAATGTATAAGCCCAGAAATGCCATTCCAGGGCCCAAAATGCAGCCCATTATTATTTAATGCTCTTGTTTCAAGTTGTAGTAACTAGAATATTTTTTCCTAAGTATACTCAGGTTACCCTTACTTTTTCTTCTTCAGAAACCAAATTCTTCTTGTTTAGCAAGTCCCTTCACATAACAAATTCTTTTTGAAATTTAGTTATCCTTTACTCCCCAATTTTAATTTGGGATGACTTTCTGCATTTTGAGACTGGTAGAATTGGTATTAGGCAAATGATAGATTCTCACCTGTCTGAATAAATTTCATTTGTTCTTTGATTTTTATTTGCATATCAAGGTGGTGGGCCTCTTTCATTTCTTCTCAGTGCACTCCAGAATTACCTAAGGAACTTTGAAAACCACAAAAGTCTGGCTCTGTCTTCAAGGATTTTATTTTTTCTAAATTGTCTTATTGTTGTTCAAGTACAGTTGTCTGCAGTCAAGGATTTTAACTCAACTGGCTTGAGGCAAGGCCTGGGTGTTGACATTTAAAAAATAAGTTTTACCAGATGATTCCAAATTGCAACCAGAGTTGAGAGCCACTGCTCTAATCCAGCAGGAATTGGCAAAGAGGGTTAGGTTTTTATAAAGAAGTCTGCGCTATATGGCTGGGGTTTTGGCATCTCCCATATGGTAACCACCTCTCTTTTCTCTCTAGATGGTGCTTCTCGCCAGGTGTGAGGGGCACTGCAGCCAGGCATCACGGTCCGAGCCCTTGGTGTCCTTCAGCACTGTCCTCAAGCAGCCCTTCCGATCTTCCTGTCACTGCTGTCGGCCCCAGACCTCCAAGCTGAAAGCATTGAGGCTGCGCTGTTCAGGGGGCATCAGACTCACGGCCACCTACCGGTACATCCTCTCCTGTCACTGTGAGGAATGTGGTTCCTGAGATCTGCTTTTGAGCGGCTTCTGGATGAGACAACCTCCAGCCTCTGATCAAGGCAGCTCAATCAGCCAATCAGACTGGCAAGAAAAGAGTTAAGGCAAAAAAAAAAAAAAAAGCGCAGCAATTCCCACAGGATTCTGCATATTCTAGTAATAGACTCTACATGCTTGTTGACAGAGAGAGATACTCTGGGAACTTATTGTCCATTCCTGTCTCCTTTCCCTAGTACAATATCTTTTGCTTCCTTTTCATATTCAGGCATTTTCCCTCTTGGCACTGAATGTTGTTTGGGTTTCTAACAATTCAGCATTAGTGGGAAAAGTGGGCCCCCAGGCAAGAGTGGGTCAGGCTGTCACTGTTTGGTGCAGATTAGGGAAGCATTTGCTTTGAAAAGAGTGACAGCACAATTCTTTCTGGGACATCATCTGGTTTTGTTTATCTTGTCATTTGATCTAAAGTTGCCATTGCTGCTAAAGGTTCCCGATTCGGAATTCCAGGCATCAAGCATGTGGATATGTTTAGTCAGGTATACTCATAGCCAGCTAACTGACTTTCAAATAATTAACAAACAGATTTTCTTATGTGATGCTGGAACTCCTGATAGCTGTAATTATAATTCAGAAATGACTTTTGGGAAGTAAATGTGGCATAAAGAATCTGTAACCTGAAGGCTCTCTCAGAAAACTATGGTAAAATTTTGTAAGAGATCAGACTTTTAAAGACCTGCACAAATATGGATCCTGCACTGACTTTCAAAAAGGCATATACATACTGGTGTCATGGAGAATGCACTATACTCATGCATGCAAATTAGACAACCATGTATGAATCTATTTGTGGGTGTGCTACAGCTTCAACCATGTCATGGGCATTTTTCTTCAACATCTACTTGTCCATGTGAAGCATGCTGCCAAAATGGTGGCCTGGCTCATCTTCTGAACATTTGGTTTAAATATATTTTGGTCTTTGAGGCTCAAAATTTGAATTATTCCCATATTGTGAAATAAAAAGAGAGTATCATCAAAATTTTGAAATTTTGACTGTGTAAGTATTGTTTTTTCCTACTAAATGTCCTCCTTTGATGCATCGCTATGTTGTGTGTGTGTGTGTGTGTGTGTGTGGAGAGGGTCCAGAAAAAAGGAGATAGGGTTCCAGAATGTATGGTGGGGTCATTTTTTGAAATCAATGTACTAAGGTGGTTGGGGCTTAAGAAATTTGGCTTTTAGTCTCAGAGTTTAGTTTATTGAATGAGCATGGCTGCCTTAGGTACTACGAAATGAAATAGAGATGTTATCTCCTTTTTTATCTCTTCACTTTTCTTAGAAGAGAATAGTATTTATAAATGAAGTCCGAAGAACCAGAAGGAGGACATATAGTTCACTAACAATGGATTCTGCGTCACTGACCATGCAGTGCTCCAGGTCCAATGATACTCTTGAGTACTATGAAATCATTCATGGTGCTGTCATAGTGCTATGTCTGCTTTAGGCATGTCAATACTGGCAAGTCACTTTTCTGGGCCAAACTTGATACCATGCTATCATGGTTCACCAGACATACCATTGCACCCCACTGTTAGTACAGCCAACCTGTAAATTACTTTTCCTAATGATTTTATAAACTTTTTGGCACAACTTTACACATTTTTTTAGAAAGACAACAGGGTTAAATTTGTATTTGTAGCTTTGGAACAGAAAAAAAACTAATGCTATTAAGCCTAGACCTTAATCTTCACCGTCATTGTGACAGAGCCAGGCAGTCCACTAAATAGGAGGCTGTCTCATTCTGAAGGCAAATGTAAAACAGTAATTTGGATTATTACATGAAGAAAAATTTTGTCATAAAAATAATTAAATTTAATACCAAAGTTAAATGGTTATAATTCTTAACTGGTAATGAAAGTATTAACGACTGGTCACATTTAGAGCTATTCTTTTATGTAACTAATCAAAAAGTGGAAATAATACTTTTAGCTTTAAAATATCTCTTTCTGGCTTTGAAAACTCAATTTGCTTTGAGAGTCACATGCCCCAAATTCCAGTATTTATTTCCTTACTCCTGATTTGGGAGTGGAGGGCATAGTTATATGACTCATATTTTCCAAATTCCCTGGAAGCCAGAGAAAATATTCCCTTCAAATCCCATTACATGGTCTATTGTCAAAGTTTTCCTCATGAAAATGAGCAGAATATTCTTGTAACATTAGAGAATCATAGAACAGTGACATTAGGAGGGACATTAAAAAGCATCCATTCTCTTTTTTTCCCTAAATAGATGAGCAAATGAAGGCCTGAAGAAACTCAAGAACTTGCTCAAACTCTCACACTTCATCTTGGATTTGGACCTAGAACTCAGGGATCCTGCTTCACAGCCTTTCACTTCCTCCACCAGTGAAAGGAGCCTCATTCTTTTCGGTATCTTGGATACTGAATACAGTGAATGGGCTGGAAAAGGATGTGGCAAAACAGTCACATTTAAATGAAGCATATCGAGACTGAGAAAGAGAAAAAAAAACTATATTTTCCTTAAAGACCTAAAAATAGTTCTTGGAACTGAGAGAATTTAGGCATTATTGGATTTTAAGTTACTATGGAATTTGTATTATAGCTTTTAAAAATTAAACATATTTAGCTTTATTTTTATGTCTACCCTTAAGAATTGAATGAGAACCAAATGAAAACCCTTATGGGTTAAAAATGCTACTGCTGGAATGCCTAAGGAATGTTTACCCATCTTCCTCATTTACTATGCATGAATAAAGGCACACTAAAATATGCTATAATCTTAGTAGTTTACATTCTAAAAATCTGTATGATAATCCATAATGGTGGAGGGCAAACCTCTTGTAAACTGATGTTATCACCATCACTTACTTATAAACCTTTAATAATGATGAATTAACAGTGCACTGGAAAATAGAAGGGTTTATGGACTGGATTGATATCTCAGTTTCCCAGACTAATCTCCTAAGTCTCATTTATGTAAGCTCTGGAGCTTTCTCCAGAAACTTAGAAGGACAAATCAACCCTTCTTTGTCCTGAGAAAATAATGGATGATTTTCTACTAAACTCAAGTGTTTGCTAGTCCACCAAACACATCCTTTTGTATTAAGTAGAGCAGGCCACACACACATTATGACTAGGGAACTGTTTAAGTTCATTTCTTCCTTGTAACCTTGGGGAAATAAGGCATAGATTTGCTTTTGGTGACTTCTTGTAGCCCCACTAAGACATACACACTTGACTAAGAGACCTGACAGAGATAGAACAACAAATGCATGGGGAATCAATGGGTTGAGAAGGCTTAGATCAGAAAGTGAAACCATATCCTGCTAATGTTGCCATCTTCATGACCCAGACACAGCCACATCCTGGCGGACAGACATGCTCATTACCTTCCAAAATAGAACAGTGGAGAAGGTTGGATCTTGGAAAAGAGGTTTACACATAGTTGTATCATTATACCCCCAGAAGATTGCTTTGTTTAATAATGCCTGTTTCAATGCACAAAGAGGTACCCAGCAACAACTTGCTGAAGACAGTATTTCATGAGAAAATGACATCACATACCAACAAACCAATGTCTTTCTGTAAGTCTTCATTACATTAATAAAATATTTTGGCACTGTATATTCTACCATAAATCTGTAACAGCATAGGCTTTTTGTTTAATTTGATTGTGAATGTAATTCCAAATTTTTCATTGATTAAAGTCACTCTGTGCCCTCAAATGTGAATGTCATCTTCTCATGTGGTAGACAGAACATTTTAAATTTGGTTACTCTGGTGAACATGGACGAGAACCAAGGAGTGATTTGTTGCCTCAGCTGTCAATTTCTTCAGAGACTGCCTCAGTTGCAGAGTTACCTTGCAGAAGGACATGTTTTCCCAGGGTTGGCTCATATTCAATGAGTGATAGGGGTGGAGGTACAAGAGCCTGGCTACCTTAGCTTGATGAAAGACAACTTTAGTGGGCAAACCTGGCTCCAGAGCTATCTACTGGGCTGATGGAGGCATGTCAACTCTACTTCTCTTTCTGCCCAAGCTTGCTTCTCCCTGACCTTCCACAGGTGCTGATCCCTAATAAAGACACTACACTGCAGGCTTCATCTCAGCATCAGACTCTTGGGAACCAAGCCTGAAATAAAAACTTTTATATATTTATTGGCCTATAAAAGGAAAGGAGTACATCTAAGCTGTGCAGTCTTATTATGTGACCAATAGTATTTAGGGTTAAAATTAATATTTCTACTTCATTTAAGTGCAGAGTTTAAATATATGTGCTAGCACCTACTATGTGTCAGCTAAACTGATAAATGTTGAAGATTTCTTATGACTTTATTGTTATTTAATTACAGTTGTCTGCATTTCTCCCCACCCCCCGACCCCAGCCAAACCACCTCCTCCCTTGCTTCCACTCTCCCCCTTGGTTTTGCCCATGTGTCCTTTATAGTAGTTCCTGACAACCCTTCTCACCACTCCCTCCCTCCTCCCCTCTGGCTATTGTTAGATTGTTCTTAATTTAAATGTCTCTGGTTATATACATTTTTTCTTTTATTGATTAGTTCCAGTTAAAGGTGAGATCCTATGGTATTTGTCCCTCACCACCTGGCTTATTTCACTTAGCATAATGCTCTCCAGTTCTATCCATGATGTCCCAAAGGGTAGGAGCTCCTTCTTTCTCTCTGCTGCATAGAATTCCATTGTTTAAATGTACCATAGTTTTTTGATTCACTCTTTTACTGATAAATGCTGGAGATATTGAAGTGAAAAATTTACAGCCTTGCTATATTATGTACACAGGCTACAGATAGCAAGAGATGACTATAATAAGTGCACTGATGACATATAGAGATAATTCACAAAACAGAGGATCATTTTTATTGGATTTATTGGGGTGACATTGTTCAATAAAGTTATATAAATTTCAGGGGTACAATTCTATAATACATCATGTGTATGTTATATTGTATGTTCACTACCTCACATCAGGTTTCTTTCCATTACCATTTATTACCCCTTTACACATTCTTACCTCTTCACCCAGCTTGCCCTCTAGTAATCACCATACTGTTGTCTGTGTCCACAAGTCTTTTTTCTTTGCCTAATCCTTTCACCTTTTTCACTCAACCCCTGTAGCCCCTCCCCGCTGACAGCTGTCAGTCTGTTCTCTGTATCTATGAGTCTGTTTCTGTTTTGTTAAAGTCACTGTGGAAAGCAATATGGAGTTACCTCAAAAAATTAAAAATAGAACTGCCTTAAGATCCAGTGATTCCACTTTTAGAAATATATCTGAAGATACCTGAAACACTAATTTGAAAGAACATAGGCATCCCTATGTTCTTTGCAGTGTTATTTATAATAACCAAGATGTAGAAGCAGTCCAAGTGCCCATCAGTAGTAGATGAGTGGATAAAAAAGCTGTGGTGCATTTACACAATAGAATACTAATTGGCTGTAAAAAAAGAGAAGGAAATATTACCTTTTTTGACAGAATGGATGGACCTGGAGAACATTACACTAAGTGAAATAAACCAGTCAGAAAAAGACAGATACCATATGATCTCACCCATATGTGGAATCTAACGAACAAAATAAAGCAGATGACCTTGTGTGTTGGTTTTAATGTGCCTTTTGATCCAGTGATCCTAAGGTTGGGATTATACGCTAAGAATCCTATGCACCCCTATATTCATAGAAACATTATTTACAATAGCCAACTCTTGGAAACAGCCTAAATGTCCATGAGTAAATGAGTAGATTAAAAAAACTGTGGCACATTTACACAATGAAATACTATGCAGTAGAAAGAAAGAAGGAGCTTCTACCCTTCGTGACAGCATGGATTGAACTGGAGAGTATTATGCTAACTGAAATAAATGGGACAGTGAAAGACAAATATTATATAACCTCACCTATATGTAGAACCTAACAAACAAAACAAAAAAAAGAGTAGATGGAAATGA